TTTTACTATAAGAAGGCTTAACCTTTCTTTCTTGTTGGGAATACTGGGTTTTTATCTAACTGTGTTTCTGGTTTGTAAACCAAATGACCCTTGAGTAAATCTTTATCATTTATGTCTAGCCATAGTCTTTAGACTCTTTTAGAGTCCATTCAATACACCTGCCACCTCAGAACATTGTTATTGTGGGTGAAAAGGGGCACTGTGAGAAGTCTAACTGAAAGTGACCTCACCGGGCCATCTGATTATAAAGTTCTCTCTGGGCGGGCGGTGGTGGGTAGTCACCACCAGGCATATAACTACCTGAGTAAAAGGTTTATTTTTGCCATAAGCGAGCCCTGCCCACTTTCTTGGGCATCTGGTTTAACACACCTTTGAAAAGCCAGAGTAATCCTGTTTTTCAGACTCCTCAGAAGGGTGACTACCCTCAACAGAGCACATAATCTCTTTAAGTAGACTGTCATTCAGTCCCTGCCTTGCCGGCCCCACCCCTCCACCTGACTTCAGGGAATCTTACTTATGTTCCCTCCTCAATTCCAAATGCATATAACAAACTGCAAGCTGCATTCTCTGCGGCCCTTTGTTCAGTCCCCTTGAGATCTCGCTTTCAGGTGTATCCTCTGTTTCACTGAAATAAACTTATAAAAAGTATCTGCAGGTTTGGACTTTGACATTATTATGAGAGACTGGGAGTTGATGCCAAATGGACCTGCACAAAGAAATCTATTGAAGTGGCCCTGGCCCTGGCCGGGTAGCTCAGTTGGTTAGAGCATCTTCCAGATATGCCTGGGCTCGAGCCCAGGTCAGGGCACATACAAGAATCAACCAACAAATGCATTAATAAGTGGAACAACAAATTGATCTCTGTCTCCCTCAAATCAATAAAAAAATTAAAAAATAATAAATACAGCCCTGGCCTGTTTGGCTCAGTGGTTAGAGCGTCGGCCCGTGGTCCAGAGACCCGGGTTCAGTTCCCGCTATGGGCAGGTACCTCGGTTGCAGTTTGTCCCCAGCCCTGGTTGGTCGTGTGGATGGCAGCCACTCGACGTGTCCCTTTCACGCCGATGTTTCGCTCTCTCTCTCTCCTTCCTGCTCTATCTGAACAAAAAATGGAAAAATGTCCTTGGTGAGGATTTAAAAAATAAAAACAAAAAAATATATAAAAAATAAAAAATAATAAATACAGCCCCCGGCCGGTTTGGCTCAGCAGTTAGAGCCTCAGCCCGCAGACCAGAGAGTCCTGGGTTCGGTTTCCACTAAGGGCATGCACCTGGGTTGCCGTTTGTCCCTGGCCCCGGTAGGTATCGTGTGGGTGGCAGCCACTAGATATGTCTCTCTCACATGGATGTTTCGCTCTCTCTCTCTAAAAAAAAAATAATAATAATAACAATAAATACAAAAATAAAGTAACCCCAACCTTCCATTAGTTGCTCCTGTATATTTCCTCATTATTGTCAAACAGTTTACTGTCCCAAGCCCCTTTGTCTTGTCACATCCCCACAATTTTTAATTCTTTGTGTAAAAAGTAATATAAGCTTTTGAGTCTAACTGCTTCTTCAGGTCTTCTTTTTCCCTTTGAAGACTCCTGTGTGTAGATAAAATTATTAAATAAACATGTAAGTTTTTCTCCTGTGAATCTGTCTTCTGTCAGTTTAATTCATAGGGTAGCCACGGGTTCTAAGAGGATAGAAAGAAATTTTTCCTCTCTTCCAGCATATATGGAAGACAATCCAGAGACTCATTGATTTGACTGTCCTGTTTCTTTTTTGGGGGGTGGGTACCTTTTTTATGGTCCATCTTTCATTTTGTCCTTTAGGCTAGTTTTGAGTATTTTGTAACAATGAAGAGGTTAATTTCCCTTTGTAATTTTTTGGAAAAGCTGCAGACAAACCTCTCAAAGAAGACTACTAATTTTGGGGTTCACTAGCAGAATAATTTTTATCTTCTTAAAGTAGTGATATTTTTTATTAGAAAAAATAAATGAAATAAATTTTATTTTCTTTTAGGGAGAAGCAACAAAAACCAGTTACAATCTCAAGTTTAAATTCACAGTGGGGTCTAGGATATATATATATATTTACCTTTTAGAGTTTTAAAGCTTCTCTTTTATTAGCTTGTTGCTTTAGATCAGTGATTTTCAACCTTTTTGATCTCATGGCATACATAAACTAATTACTAAAATTCTGCGGCACACCAAAAAATATATTTTTTGCCAATCTAACAGAAGAAATAGGTATAATTTTGATTGATTTACACAAAAAAATAATAATAGTAATTACCTACCCTTTTTGCTCCAAAGTGACCAAAAAAAATCAGGTGCTTATACTTGTATATAAGGATTTCTGGTAACAAGAATTAACCAATCAGACCAACCTTATTATGCGACATGACCTATATATATTTATGGTTCAAGTCAGGGCATTCACACCAGATAGCTATTGTCCTTTAAAAAAAAAAAAATGACAATCTAAGAGAAAAGTGGTCAGTGACCCTGACTAAATAGTCAGGCGTTTCATGTTTTAATAATTCTTGTGGCATACCTGTTGAAAACTGTTACTTTAGATACATCTCCAATTCTCATTGGCTATTGGCTTGCATATCACAATGGAGGATAAGTCTGTCCCTAGAGCAAGTCCAATATCATTTCAGCAATACATTGCAGTGTGGCTGAAGCCTCATTCTGGAATGGCCGCAACTGGATTATGAATGTTACTCACCCAGTGATGCGTTCACCTTGTCAACAACATCTGATAATTGCAGATATGACTACATCAGACTAGCTGTGCCACAGAGCACTGTTGGGTCACTGGTGGCTAGTATGGGGAGTAGGGGTGACAGGAACTCTTTTCTTGGTGCTGCAGAAGATGCTGCACCAAGGCGTTCTACTTCCTGTGGGAAAGTGTGACACCATGAGAATGGAGAGAACAGATTCTAAAGATTCTCGGATGACAATGGAAGATACAGGATTTTACTAAATTCCCCTTAGTTTTTGGACAGCTAGTCAGAAGACACCATATAAAGATTCTGAAAATCTGCTTTGGAGCATGTAATGGTGGCATTTAGGTAAGGGATATGCGTGAAGGCAGCCATGGGCGTGGGTCTTAGTATTGTCCCTCAGGTCAGGGATGGTGGCAACACCCTCATTAGCTGAAAAGGTATGAGCATTTTGAGGAAGTGATGTGATTTGTTTTACCATTGTGAGCATCAGGAATTGGGACTAGTGATCTGGGAATGTGGTTAAGGTGACAGAGAATGATAAGTAAAATCTTGCTGGGAAAATATTAAGGCTTTTTCTCACATATTTTAGCACACAATGGAGTGTTCCTGAGGAAGCTCCTTGAGTAAAGTGCTTTGTTTTGTCAAAGCAAAATCAAGAGAAGGATGTAGAGAAGATCTGAAATCTTTAAACACTCTCCTTTTAATTGTCTTTTTTATATAACTCTGTCACCTTTAGTAGACCTCTTATTAAGCCTGAAGTTCTTGTTCTCATCTTTTCCCTCTGTGAGTTTGTATTCTGGGTCAAATTTTCTATTCAAAGACACCTGTATTCTGTTTCTGATTGTTGTGGAAGTGTATAATTGTCTTCCTTGATTTAAATGTCAAAGCTTTATGTTTTTACCTGGAAAAATAGATGCTATTATTGTTATGTCTTTATAAATTATGTAAACTTAAAAATATAGTATTTTCAATGTAAACTACTACTTGAAGGGAATTAGTTCCCTTAAATTTAGTTCCGTAATAATATTTATATTAATTTTATCTTTCAAGCTTAACTGTGTGGCCTTAGCTCTAAAATACCTGTATTAAGACTATGTTATTCATGCTTTTTGTGATTTTAGTAACTTCAATCACCTCTTAGAATTTACATTTCCAGGCTGAAGAGTTCTCTATTTTAATTTTTTCCTCTTATATCAGGTCTTATACTTGATATGAAGCTTTTTCTGTGAAGCTTTTTCAGGCATCCTCCTTTGTTTTCACTTGTTGTGGCCCAATGAAAGGAAAACAGGCCATCAACATAGATGTTCTCGAAAACTATGGATTTCATTTAGTCAATAGCAAGAGTTTTGACAATTAAGGCAATCACCTCTTCAAAGTATGATAAATTCCTCTTAGAACTGAATGTGAAGAAAACATTGGTCTATGCCAACTCCTATGCTGTACTTCCTTTTCTTATAGAATGAGTATGTAACCAAACCTGTTGTTTTCTTAGAGCTCAACTGAAAGCTCACATATAGAAAAAAATAACTCGTTCTGGATAAATGGACACGGTATTTAATGTTGAAATAGTTTCTGATCTGCTATCACATGAAAAACATTTACAAATCGTTCTAAATTGTATTTTAAGAGTGAATGGCTCACGTTTGTTTTTTTTAGGAGTAGTAGAGCATAAATCATAATACCTTAAAAGGTAATAAAAGGCAAACGCTTTTGTTTTGGGTAAGATTCGGCTAATGCTTTCGGATTTCTTTCCTAAGATTTCACAGACAACGCCTAACAACACATTCGCCGTTGGCAGAAACATAGGATCTAGTAACTCCCTGAATTTTGGCTTCAGCCCGAGAAGTGTAACCCGTATCCATAGAAACTGGGAAAAGCGTCCACGAGCTAAGGCGGCCCCCCAGCCTCTTCTGCTCTAAACTGCTGCCCTTTCCCGTAGGAGGGAAAAAAACGAAGTAAATATATGCGAGCGCCCCGGGAGCGCTTTCTTTGGGTCCCTTTCATCGAGTGGCTGGCTGAACCACAATTCCCAAGATGCACCCAGGTTCTAGGCGCTCAGAGAAGCAGCTTCCGGCTTTGGCCAGTGCGGCTGCGCCCGAGGTGTAGTCTTATTGGATCTCACCACCTTGTGCGATTTACGTCACGGCGACGTGCGGTCGTGGGGGCGGGCAGACGCGGCGGCGGCGGTCGCGGCGGCGCGCGCACCGTCCTGGACTCGGTATCGCGGCGGCGGCAGCGGCACGGCTACACCGGGTTGGGCTCCTTCCCTCCTCCGCCCCCCCCTCCTCCCCCTCCCCTCAGCTGTGGCACCCGCAGAGTCCGAGACGTGAGGAGTCCGAGACGTGTGGCGAGGCGGCGACAAGCTCTGGGTGAGGGTCTCTGGAGTGTGAGTGCCGTTCCCCGGGCGAAGAGGTAGCGCCCCGGGTCGGGAGGAGGTGACGGCTGCGGAGGCGACTGCCCCGGGTTGTGGGCCGGGGCGCGCGCTCGTCCCAGCCCTGAACTTGGCCTCCTGACCTGACCCTCCCGCCCAGGACGGTGTGCAGTGCGGTGGCCCGCGGGGCCGACGGTGAGGGGCCTGGATCCGCCCTCCTTTCAACCTCGTTTACGGAGCTTGGCACCCACCGCCCGCCTCGCGCCTCCTAGCCGAGGGTCCCGAGCCCTCTTCGTTCTCCTCCGTTCGCCTGCACTTCCTTTTCTTACCCCCTACGGAGATAATCTGCCCCCCGCGTTTTCATTTCCTTCTCTTTTATCACTTCTAGGACTTTCTTTGGTGCACACTTCCAGTGGGTTCTGCTTGGTACTACTTGGACAGTATATGGAGTGGGGAGCTTTTCCTCACCTTCTCTTAGGTGGTGTTTCGGGCAACCTAATTTGCAGAGTAACCTGGACCCTGTTTTTCCAAGCCCTACTGGGCTTTTCGTCTCAGTGCGCTGCACCTATTTTATTTTTTAAAATATGTTTTTATTGCTTTTCTTAGAGAAGAAGGGAGAGAGATAGGAACATTGATGTGTGAGAGAGAAACATCGCTCGGGGATCCAGTCCGAAACCCTTTTCATGTGCCCTGACCGGGTTCCAGCCGGGACTGCTCAGTCCATGGGACAACGCTCGGTCCACGGGGCCACACCGGCAGGGCTCAGTGTGCTGCTTTTAAAACTGCGATAACAGGGTTTAAATCAGTGTTAGGGGATCAGTGAGAGAATTTGGATCTAAGACTGATAGGTACTTTTTTCCTCCTCCTGGCTTTTGCCATTTACGTGTTTGCGTCTGGAATTTTGACAACTTAACGTGATGGCCCAGCCCTGAATTTTGGTGGAAAGACTCAAGAGTCTAACTGGGATTTTACTGGTTGATTTGACTTCATTACAGCTGTTGGCATTTTTTTTTTTTTTGAAAGTAGAATGATTCTTAATATTTTTATTTTTAGACATTGGATTTCTCAGCCTTTCCTTAGTTCCATTATATATTTTCCAATCCATTTAAAATTCCAAGAAATCTGTCACAACATTTAAAATCATTTGATCACAAAACTACTCCAAATGAGATGTTAAAATTATTTCATTCAGGCCAAAACTTTATTTGGGGGGTGGGGGAATCATAAACTTTTGTCACTTCTGCAGTTTGAAGTGTCTTCATATCAAGGACCACCTTTATAGCTCTCCTTTCATCATACTGTGACGTTTATTCTGTTAGAATTTCATAGATTTTTTTTTTCTTTTCCTAATTTTTCCTTTCAGAGAAATTTCATTTCTGTTGCTGTTAGTTGTTCATAGGTGTTTTCATTCTTTCTCAGAAATTTGTCAGACGGGTGACTGTGATGATCCGTAACTACAATCATTTCATCAATACTCAGGACTTCCACACATGTGGTAGTTGTGCTTGGTGGTGAATTATTACGAACTTTGAAACATTTCAAACTGATTTAAATATGAAAGGCATATTTCTTTTAGCTTTTATTTTAACTGCCCATCCACCAGTGTATGTTCCTAGTTAGACTTTAGGCAAATTTTCTCTTATTACTGTGGTTCTAGGAATGAGAGGAGGATTTCCAGAGTTTTTCTATTCCTAATTATATGAATTAATAAGTGAATGGATTTTTTTTTTCCATCAATATATCAATATAGTTGATGCACTTTCTTTGGTATACCTCACACTTTGTTTTCCAAAATGAATTTTTTTTTTGTTCCATTTTAGAGGTCAGCAAACTTTATAGCTTGTGGGCCAAGAACTGCCAGCTGCCTGTTTTTGTAAATTTTTTATTGGGACATAGTCAACATACATTCGTTTAGATATTGTCTGTGGTTGGTTTGTGGTGCAACGGTAGAGTTGGGCAATTGTGACAGACTCATATGACCTGCAGAGTCTAAAATATTTACTGTCTGCCTCTTAATAGGAAAAGTTAGCCGATTCCTGCTTTATTTTATTTATTTTTTAATTTATATATGTTTTATTGTTTTGAGAGAAAAAAGAGAAAGAGAAACATCAATGTGACAGAAAAACAGTGATCGGTTGCCTCCCTGACTGGGGATCAAACCTGCATCCCAGGGTTGTGCCTTGACAGAATTCGAACCTGCAACCTGTTAGTGTACTGGATGATGCTCCAACTAGCCACACCAGCCAGGGCTCCTGCTTTGTTTGTTTATTTTTAAATGATGCATATTCCATATAGAAAATTAAAATGAGTTAAAGTATAAAGAAGAAAGTAAAGATTATCCAGACTCACACAACTCTGAGGGGTTTGTTTTTGTGATTATCCTTATAGAATTTGTTAGTGATTATTTTTTGTAAACTGGCTCATATTGCCCTGGCCTGGTTTGCTCAGTGGTTAGAGTGTCGGCCTGTGGTCTGGAGAGACCCGGGTACGGTTTCTTCTAAGGGCACGTACCTCGGTTGCAGTTTGTCCCCAGCCCTGGTTGGGTCGTGTGGGTGGTGACTACTCGATGTGTCCCTTTCACGTCGATGTCTCTCTCTCTTTCTCCCTCCCACTCTATCTGAACAAAATATCAAAAAATGTCCTCGGGTGAGGATAAAAAAAACCAAAAAAACAACAACAAAAAAGGCTGGCTCATATTGTTTTGTTTTTATTTTATTTTTTAAATAATTTTAAAAATCTTTATTGCTGAATGTATTACAGTTGTTCCTCATTTTTCCCCCATTGACTCTTTCCTCCCCACTCCCGCCTCCCTCCTGCCTTTTCCCACACTGTTGTCTGTGTCCATTGGTTATACATATAAATTCTTTGGTTTATTTCTTCCCACCCCTCAAACCCTTTCCCTTTGAGGTTTGTCAGTCTAGCTACAAATTTGTACCTTTTTTTTTAAATCCTCACCCGAGGACATTTTTTGTTCAGATAGAGTGGGAGGGAGAGAGAAGAAGAGAGAGAGAGAGAAAAACATCGACGTGAAAAGGACACATCGAGTGGCTGCCCCCCGCATGACCAACCTGGGCCGTGGACAGACTGCAACCGAGGTACATGCCCTTAGCGGGAACCAAACCCGGGTCTCTCTGCACTGCAGGCCAATGCTCTAACCGCTGAGCCAAACCAGCCAGGGCTGAATTTATACTTCTTAATCCCTTCACCTTTTTCACCCATTCCCCCAAGCCCCCTCCCATTTGGCAACCAACAAAATGTTCTCTGTATCTATGAGAATGTGTCTGTTCTGCCTGTTCATTTTGTTTGTAGAGTCAATTGTCGATAGATATGTAATCATTGCTATTTTGTTTTTGTTTGTCCACATATTTTATCTTTTTCTTCAAAAAGACCCTTCATCATTTCATATAATAATGGTTTGGTGGTGATGAACTCCTTTAACTTTTTTTTGTCTGGGTAACTCTTTATATGGCCATCGATTCTAATTGACAGCTTTTCAGGATAGAGTAATCTTGGTTGTAGGTTCTTGCTTTTCATCACTGAATATTTCTTGTCACTCCCTTCTGGCCTGCAAAGTTTCTTTTGAGAAATCAGCTGAGTCTATGGCCATACCACCCAGAATGCGCCCGATCTTGTCTGATCTCGAAAGAGAAATCAGCTAACAGTCTTATGGGAACTCCCTTGTAGGTAACTAACTGTGTTTCTCTTGCTGCTTTTAAGATTCTCTTTTTGTCTTGAACCTTTTGCATTTTGATGATGATGTGTCTTGGTGTGGGCCTCTTGGGGTTCATCTTGTTTGGGACTCTCTGTGCTTCCTGGACTTGTATGTCTGTTTCCTTCACCAAGTTAGGGAAGTTTTCTGCCATTATCTTTTTTTTTTAAATTTTTTTCTTTTTTATTGATTGATTTTAGAGAGAGAGGGAGAGAGAGATAGAAACATCGATGAAAGAGAACATCGATTGGCTGCCTCCTGCATGCCCCACACTGGGGATCGGGCACACAACCTGGGCATGTGCCCTGACCAGGGAATCGAACCAGTGACCTTTTGGTGCATGGGTCAATGCTCAACCACTGAGCCACACTGGCTGGGCTATTTTTCAAATAGGTTTTCAATTTCTTGTTCTCTCTTTCCTTCTTCTGGCACCCCCAAGATGCGAATGTTGGCACACTTGAAGTTGTCCCAGAGGCTCCTTACACTACCTCATTTTTCTGGATTCTTTTTTCTTTTTACTGTTCTGATTGGGTGTTTTTTGCTTACTTACTCTACTATTGAATCTGTGTAAATTGTTCTTTATTTTAGTTAGTGCCTCCTTCATTTCTGACTGGTCTTTTTTTATGCTCTTGAGGCCCTCACTAAGTTCGCTGAGGTTCTCACTAAGTCATTCAACATCCTTATAAGCAGTATTTTGAACTCGGCATCTGTTAGTTTGCTTATCTCTATTTCGCTTAGTTCTTTTCCTGGGGCTTTGTTCTCTTCTTTCATTTGGGACCTGTTTCTTTGTCTCCTCATTTTGGCTGCCTCCCTGTGTTTGCTTGTATGTATTACTTAAGGAGAGGTGTGGGGCTATCTGAGGCCAGATGCTGCTTGTTTGAAAGAATTTAGGAAAACCTGAAGCAGGATCCAAGACAGGCCAATCCTATGGTTAAGCAACTGGCAATAGCTTGGGTGAGCCTGAAAGTTGGGTGGGCCTGAAAGTTGGGTGGGGCGGGGCCTCAGGGAGTCAGCAGGGCGGGGCTACCAGTGTGAGCCAGGTTGCTGGAGTCCCAGATTTGGCGGCTGTCTGCTGCCCCAGGGAAGGGCTCACCAAAAGAACAAAGGCCTCTGACAGCATGTTTGTCAAGGAGAAAGCCTCCTCTCCAGCCCTTGCTCCAAAGCCAAACAGCTCAGTTCTTCCCTGTATGTCTTTGGTGCCCCTTGAGTTACCTCCCCTCCAAGCTTAGAGGGAGTGAGTCCGATAAGTCTGTGCCCGGCGGGCCCTTTAAGATGAGCTGCCTGGGGCT